AACAAAAATAGTACAAAGACAAGATATGTAATGTTTATCAGCATTCTGGAACTGATGCCTGCCACATGAAAAAGTTGGGACAGGAGCATTTTGGAACATTGTTCAAAAACATCTTAAACAGGTGATGCAGTTATACTCTATTTAAGTTGTCTGTAGACAGTGTGGTAACTCATTGCCACTTAGAACGTCAACAACACATAATTTGACCAGGGGTGTTTAAACTTTTGCATACAAACGTAACTGTACGTAGGTGTCATGCAGGTGCTATGGTCACTGCCCTTCAGTAAAGTGTTGCCAGTTTTGTTGAGTATACTCTAGTTAGCTGTCGTAAAATCACACATTATGAGACAAAGTGAGGTCCAAAAGTCTGAGACCACATTGGAAAGCTAGGATTTTCTCACTGTAAACCTGGAAATAAACAACAGAGGTTTTACTAGCTTGAAAAATGTAAAACAAAGAAAAGTTAAGAGAAGTAAAATGAGAAGAAGTGTTCAAGATTCTGCACTATTTCTACATCACTGTTCAAATTTAAGCCAGTTTGCGACACTGAGCAAGATGAGCTACAAGGTCAGTTTTTCTTTAGTCTTATCTCTTTTCCAGTGAAGCTCGTGTTCATACGACTCTCAGGTTGATTTGATCTCATCATTGCACAGAATTCCGGAGTCCATGCCAGCTCGAGTGCAGCCTGTCATTAAAGCAAAAAAAGGGAAATACTGAATAGTAAGAAATTCTTAAATTTGTATAAATATTCCAAAGATTTCACTTTTCACTCACATTGTTCTGCTGATAATATAATTTGAAAAACTTTGTACTACGTTAGTAGTAGAAGCATTTTCATTAGTGGTCTCAGACTTTTGGATCCCACTGTATCTGATGACAGTAACCAGTCATGTTCATGTCATGGTTATGTCAATTTTGTGTAGGAGGAATAGAGTAAAGTGACACTAAAATTATTTTCAATGAATACATTTCTAGCTACTCGAGGCCTTGTAAAGATTTTAGGGTTGCCCAGTCATGGTGGGGCCTCCTGCACCTGTGGGCCCCAGAGCTTTTTCCCCCCATCTCAGTAGTTACACCTAGAGAAGACCGAAGAGGCCATGAGCTGTGGCTATAATTTTCTGGATTGTTATCTTGAGATCACAACTTAATTGTGCTGTGATCTCAAGATAACAACTTTTGCTATCTCAAGATCACAACTTTGTCATCTTAAATTGTCAAATTGTTATCTTGAGATCATGGCTTAGTTATCTTGTGATCTCAAGATAACCAACAATCCAGAAAAGTATAGCCACCTCATGGCCTCTTTAAACTTCTGTATACACAAACTGGTAACTAGTTATATAATTAGTTATTTGACTGTGTACTGAAATTTAAATATGCTCCTAAAAAGATGGTTCTTCAAGTGTTCTTTAGTGAAAGGACTGATTCCATTTAGAACCACGATTTAAATACATTCTTAAATCATTAAAGGGTTCTTTGCATCGTCAAAGGGTTCTTCAAGATTGATGGAGGATGTGCCGTAGAACCTTTTTGAAAGGAGTTCTATATATCATCCAAAAGGGTTCTTCTATTGTTATAAGCTTGACATAGTAACAATAGCAGAACCCTTTTTGGTGCTATACAGAACACTTTTTAAGAAGGTTCTCTTTAGAGCCATATACAGCACATTCTTGATCTGAAGAACCATTTGATGATGCAATTTTTGCATGTTCATGGTTCTATATAGATCCATTGTCTTTACTAAAGAACCTATGAAGAACCATCTTTTCTAAGAGTATATTTCCTACCAATATGACACGAATACTTCTAGACATCTAAGGATTGAACCTGAATATTGTCACAGGTGTTTGAGATCTCAATACGCTTCACGCTTCTCATACCCCTCTCTGGAATCCAGGCCCAATCAGCACTACATCTGCAGAGTCCTCTGCTCTGTCTGCCCACTAGATCACAGCTGATACAGATCGACAGTCCATTTTTTTCCCCCTGTATGTTTTTCCTTGTCAACACTTGGCAGCCAATCACAGGATTAAGGATGCTGTCCGGCAGATACAGTCAAGGCACTGGGTGTTATTCTTTTGCCCACTACTCTTATCTATTTTATTGCATATTTGTGTCCAATAACTGGCATAACTGAAAAATGCTGAGTTTGTGCTGAATCAGAGGACTTGGATCACTTGATGATATATCACTGAGTTACAGTTCGAAATATAAAGCAATCTCCAGACAGACACTTTTTTCAGCTTAGGCTTTACTCCCTTGAACTGCAGACTCATTATTCTGTTAAATCTTAGCAAAACATATTATTCACATAATAATTAGAAAGTATTAATGAACAAGTATGAAATAGTATGCAAGAGTAGTTATTATAGTGAGAAACTGAAGTGGATCCTCATAGGGGGTCACATGTTTTATAGAGTGATACAATTCAGTTACTTTCAATAGGACAGACATGTTTCGCTTGCTGTGTCTGTTTGCTGGACACGTTGTGCTTTACGTGCCCTGCACATCAAGGAAAACACCAAAGTGCTTAGGTTGCTCATGTCGTGTCATGAGCTTCTTTCCTGTGCTGACCAGTCAGAGCAAAAGTAAGGTGAGGTTCAGAGAGAGTTGTAATGAAGGAGGTGTTAGTGGTTGCAGTCTTTCATGGATCAAAAGTCATGGCAAACAAAAAGCTGTTGTTTTTGCCAGTAGCACTACATTTTCTAGTTAATAGCATTAGTTAAACTTTCTGCCAGTAAATATCAAAACTATAACAGAGAATCTGCTGTTATATTTGGAACTCCGGTTGTGGGACTTTCTAGCAGTGCCTAATGCACATTTATGACATTATTGAAGCCCAAGAGCTGACCAGCTCACCAGCCAATCAGCACTTAGTAGCAGCCCAGAACCTTTTTGCTGTATAAGACAGGAAAATACTGGTAAGTTTTGACTGGAATACATCCTTCTATTTTTCTGTTTCCGTTGGTTCTGGCGTAAATGGCTAGAAATGTGTTTAAGTTTTTTGTTTTTAGACGTTCAGGTCCTTCACACCCATTCATTGAGGACTCGCTCGTGGATGCCCTCTAGCAATTTGCAGTCATGTTTTTTGCGCCCCCCAAAGGTATAAAGGGTTAAAAAAACAATGGAATTGCATTAACCCTCAGAAGTTGAGTTATTACCTTTTCATCATGCAATGATGAAGTTATTGTTGCTGTCCCCCTCCCTAAAAAAAGAAAACATGTATCTATTTTTTCAGAATTTTTTCTACATCATTTGACCTCAGCAGCTGTCCTTCACCTTGTGTGAAAATTTCATGATGAATGGACCCATAGAAATGCTCCAAAATTGCTTGGATTAAGATTATCCTAACTTACACTAAGAGTGAAGAGCGTTTTTGCCCTCTCCTGTAAAGTGACTATTTGAGATATTTATTTTGGGCAGCTATATTATGCTATTAATTACATTCACATTGAATTTACACTCTGAACTCTTTTTTGTGTGCTTTGATGTCAAGAAATGTCAAAAACGTTGCAAAACACAGACTGTTAAAGTGACAGTGAGCCCATCGTCCCAAATGGCCTGGCTGCATGTTCCGAGGGCTTGGTGTGAACACGGCTAGGTTAGAGGTTGTCTGGCGTCTGGTGTGGTGGGCTTCACTGGTTGGGGGTTTGTCCTTGCAGAGGTGGTGAGGGAGAAGCTGTTTTGGTGGGGACTTTGTCGGCAGCGTGTCGCACAAGGTGGCATTGTGTTCACACTCGATTTGGCTGAAATGTTAACACGGGTGTGGTGGCAAGGGGGCGAGGGGGGGCGCTCCGGGAGCGAGGCCAGATGGAGAGCACCTGACCAGGCTACTGATCAGCGCCTTCAGCCTTTCAGCTGCTCCACTGCGGCCCCCCAGCAATGAGGCCTGCCCACTGACACACGCTTTGTCTCTCACTCTCATTTTCTCTTTTTTCTTTCTCTCTCTCTTTCTGTCACAGATTTTCTCTCACCATCTTTCTCCTTCACTCTCTCTCTCCTTTTCCTCTCCTTCTTTGTTCATTTCTTTCTCTTTCTCTCTATCACTTCGTCTTTCTCTCTTCTTTCTTTCTATCTTTCTTTCTTTAACCTCTGTCTCTCTCTCTTACTGTCTTTCTTTCTTTCTTTCTTTATTTATTTATTTCTTTCTTTCTTCTCTGTTTTTCTCTCTCGTCACTCCCCTCTCTTTCTATCCATCTCTCTCTGTCTGTCTTTCATTCTTTCACCTGCCTCTCACTCTCATTGTCTTCTTTTTCTCTTTGTCTTTCTCTCTTTATCTCTCCCCATCCTCTCTCTCTACCTATCCTTCTCTCTCTCTGTCTCTCTCTCTCATTCTTTCACCTCTCTTTCTCTCATTTTCTGTTTTTCCATCTACTTCTCTCTCTCTTTCTCTCTCTCTCGCTCATTGTCTGTTTTTTCATCTTCCTTTCTCTTTCTTGTTCTCTCTTCTTGTCTTTCTTTATCACATTTTCTCTCTCTGTCTCCCTTGTTCATTCTTTTATCTCTCTTTCTCTTGTTGTCTGTTTTTCCATCTGTCTCCCTCTTTTTCTCTCTCTCATTGTTTTTTTCTACCTCTCTCTACCTTTATTCATTTGTCTCCCTGTTCTTTCTCCATAGGGCAGATTGGGTACAGATTGTGTGTGGGTAGAAACCAGTATAAAACAATGCCCAGAACACTTACTTCTTCTTTGATCCTTTTCTCTTTTCCCTCCATTTTCTCTTTTTTATTGTTTATTTTGCTCTACTCTTGGCTGCCAGGGATGTCAGGCCTGCTACAATTGCCTTTGGCATGCTATAAAGCAAAGATAAAGAGTAACTGAAAGGAGCCAGAGACAGAGAGAGAGAGAGAGAGAGAGAGAGAGAGAGAGAGAGAGAGAGAGAGAGTCTGCTTACAGCAAAAATGCTTTTTAAGGGTTTAGTTTTTCCTTTTTTTGGGGAGTTGGGGTTTCCCGTACGGCTCTTGTTAAACGGCGCTGTCCCTCTGCTCCTTCTTCTTGTAGGCCGAGCTTCAGAAGATGAAGCAGCAGGCCCAGGAGACCAAGCAGTTCATTGACAATCAGGAGGTGGAGGAGCGCAAGCTGTTGAAGATCATAGCGGACGCTGATACTGAGAGAATGCGGCAGAAGAAAGAATTGGATCAGGTAAGGCGGAAGGGGGAGGTGTGCGTGGGGGGGTGCGGTGGGTGCGTGTTTGTGTGCGGTGGTTTTGCTTCAATAGCCGCCCCTTTACCCCGCTATAAGGATGAAAGAGACTTGAGCCTGGGTGCATTCCAAACTCATTAGGAGAGGAGTCTATATGAGAGCCACCGGCAAAGGCTGTAGTGAGAGAGAGAAGTGCACCAGACCTGGGGTCAAGTTCTCATTAGAGAGAGAGAGAAAGAGAGAGAAGCTCTAACGTGTGGGTGCAGGAAAAATAGGACCTGCCATTTTCAAATGCAGTTTGGAAGTTAACAGTTCAAGGTGTTTGAACTGCAGTGCAGGCAAATGTTGTAACAGCAGGTCAAGCCTGACACGGTTTAATTGACACATTCAGATTGAATTGAAAGGTAATATGACCCGACTGTAAATATGGGCTGCTTTACTTTTCACCCAGTCTGACTGTTTCCTGTACTCTCTCAGAAACAGATTCATTACAAATACAGCAGTGGACAAAAGTCCTCAACCAGCCAAGTGTCCCTACAGCCCAGGGCCTGGACATATAGTTGAATCTCTAATACTGACTATACACTTACACTGTTAACTGTCTTAATTCTAAGCTTTCAAAAAGAATCAAAATAAATCAAAAAGACTTCAGATGCTGAGCTCTTGTGGAAAGGAGGAAAAGGTCTTCGCTTTATTTTTTCTTTTTTTATTTTTATACCTTCCTCTGGGGTGATAAGACAATCACCCCACCCCTCTTATGAAGTTTCCACAATATATTAGTCCCTATTATACCCAAAATCTTTACCTTTTTTTGGTTTATGATATCTTCTTCTTAAAAAACCGGTCTGATCATGCTCATACCAGATTCTCCTGTCCTTACAAGGTCATCTTACACAACTTTCTGTGTGAGTTCAAGAGTTCACTACGGCTAGAATTTTCACGCACACAGCCTATGGCTTATTCTGTTTCCTGTACGACCTCTAAGAGAAATCAGTATTCTCATTTCAGTTAATACCTAAAACTGTTGAATATTGATTATCATTGATTAAGAGAATATTCATTTAAATTTGCCATCACAAGAAAGTGTGAGTGGGGCTTCTAACACAGTTTGTTTTTGCTAAATAATTTTAAGATTAATTATTTTTTATACAAGCAAACTACACTAATTAAAAAAGCAAACCTTCTTTTAAGCACTTACCAATTTGTGACCAATTTAGCTGAAAGTTACCCCATAGGCGGGGTCATTGTAACAGACTGAGGTGCTCGTTGTGACAGTTGTTAAAAGCCTAGTAAATTGGTGCCAATTTAATACAATTATATTTTGTTTAGACCAGATGAGCCTTTAAAACATTGAAATAAACACAGAAAAATAAATATTTCATTTGGGCACCTAAAGTTAATTATAACAGATGGGGGCTCATTGTAACAGTTGCTAAAATGTCAGATAAAACCATGTAAAACAATTTATTCAGTACAGCTCTGTGTTGTTTGACCTTGACAGGCTTTCCAACCTAAACAGAAAAAAAAATATATTTATTAAAATAAATATGATTAGTGAAAAATACTGTCTGTATTTGACCCCCAAGCAGAGCTGCAAACATCAGCCTGATAAATCTGAAATATATTTTATTTACATTGTGTCTGTAGTACATTTTTGATTGATGTATTAATGAATCGTCACAAAAATGAAAATGTATGTAGAGGACATAGACTTAAATTGAAAAGTAATATGACCCGACCATAAGGATGGGTCACTTTTATTTCCTCACAAATACGGCACTGTATAAAAGTTGTTAGCCAGTCATGGTCATGCTAAACAGGGCGAAATTAATTTTGACCTCAATGCAGAACAGACTTAATACCTAAATACTTTTAATAGCAAAATAAAGCTATTAATAAAGCTACACATTTGGTTCTTCAAGGGTTCCTTAGTGAAAGAAAATATTCCATATAGTATAATGAACACTCAAAGAACCCTTTGCATGATTAAAGGGTTCTTTTGCATCATGATAGAGTCCTTTACATTGATGGAGAATGTGCTGTAGACGGTTCTAAATAGGACCTTTTTGAAAAGGGTTCTGTAAAGCACCAAAATGGATTCTTCTGTTGTTAGAGGCTTGACATCATAATGATACAAGAACCATATCTGGGGTTATGTAGCTTTCATTGCTTTATATACACTCTTTAAAAAGGTTCTTAAAGGGTTCTTTAGTAAAGAAAATGGTTTAATTTAGAACCATGAACACTCAAAGAACCTTTTGCATGATTAGAAAGTTCTTTGCCTTGTGAAAGGTTCTTCAGATTGATGGAGAATGGGCTGTAGATGGTTCTATATAACCCCAGAAATGGTTCTTGTATCATTACGATGTAAAGCTTCTAACAATAGAAGAATCAGTTTTGGTGCTATGTAGATCCCTTTTCAAAAAGGTTCTGTGTAGAACCATCTACAGCCCATTTTCCATCTTTCCAACTTTTTTACATAGCAAAAATCGTTTTAATCATACAAAGGGTTCTTTGAGTGTTCATGGTTCTCTATGAAGCCACGTTCTTTACTAAAGAACCCTTAAAGAACCATCCTTTTTAAGAGTGTATATAAAGCACAGCAAAGCTGTTTTAACCCCAAAGCAGAACAGCAAATACCTGCACAATAAAGCTTTTATTTATTTTATTTAAATGACGTCTGTACTACATTTTTGATTAATAAAGTAATAAAAATTGACTTAAATTTATACGGGAGGATTTGGACTGCTCTTACTGTTTACCTTGGTGGTACACCGTGCTAAAGCTAACCTCACTGTACAGAGGCTGTACTTCAGTCTGTCTGACCCCCACTGTGAGTTCTTATATATTTCATAATGATGATGAAAATAATATAGCCATGAATTCTGTGGCTTGTACACAACTCAGTGACTGGAAAACACTTCTGATTAAGGTTGCTATGGTAATATGAGAAAGTGCCGAGAAATACAATCTACTTGAACCTGCTTAAATACACAAAATCCATGTTCTGTTTTGTGTTATACATAAAGACGTTATATTTTACCTCACATCAGGTTGTGCCCTGTGCTCCCCTACTGTGACATTTGTCATCCTAATCTCTGTCCGTCACATCTGTACTGTACCCGCTCTGTCCTCTACCTCAGACAGTAATTTTGTCGTGTTTCTACTTACTCAGAAAAGAACAGAAAACCTGTCAATTCACTTATAATAGAAGCCAATGGGCAGGCGCTTCAAAGGCTTTTCTTTTAACGGAAAAACATGTCAAAATGACTGTCTATGGTAATCAGCCATACGCTACACATGCAGCTGATAAAGAAACTGCAGAAATATTCCTTGCAGTAAGGAAGTGGGTTTTTGCTTGTAAACAGACAACAGAATTGAGACCAAAAATAAAATACAGTTTTGAGAACTTGAGAACTGGTAAGAAGAACACAGGTTGGGTTCTCCTTCAGTCATTGCATGGATTTGTTAAGCTCCACCACCTGGTTTAACTTAATGAAGTATTGATTAGCTGAAGAAGGCACTAGATGGCAACTGTGAACACTGAGCTGCAGCAAGGAGAAGTTTGGAAATGGTTAACACAGTGATATTATTCTATGGAATACATGTTGGGGTTTATTAAATGGCGAATATTATGCATTATTAAATGATTACGATGTTAACACAGTAATTCGGGTGATTCAATGTGAAATGTTCCATTCTAGAGAAATTTACAGAGTAGGAACCAGATAACTAAAGCATTTAATGTCTTTTAAAGCTACTCCACAGAGTAGTCTTACATAGTGACTAAGATGCTGCCTGATGCCTGAGACATTGTTTTAATGTAAGCTTTTGGTCTAAAACAAAGAACTGACTTTTAAATCAGTTTTTGGTGGAGTGGTACATGTAGGGTGTTGTAAGGCAAAATAGTCCCTTATCATTGGGTTACATACAAAAACTCACTTGACGCGTGTTGGTTCACTGTTGGTTTTGGACAGTAAATGAATTGGCTATATTTGCATTGTAGACAATGAGACCATGGTAACTATCAACCAAGAGTTGGCAAGTGATCTACAGTGATCCATTTCACATCATGCTACTCGGAATCACTTTTTTTACATCTCAGAAACAGAATTACACTGAAATTTTGAAAAATTGGTGAAATTCCCCTTTAAGATCATGTTCTTTAGACATTTTTAAATGATTTGTTCAATATGCATTAAGCCTTATTCATTACGGCTGGTATAAGTACATAATTGGAGTCTTGTTATGTGAAAATCACCAATTATTGCTTTATTAGTTGTAGTAATGCACAGTAAGCACACTACAAATTATGCAAATTATTGAGCTAGATTAATCATTCGCACCTTACAATTAGCAGCATTTAATTCCTATAGGTTTTAGGTAGCATTGAGTGTCTTCTGGAATGTATTGCATTAGTGCTAATTAGACGTTAATAAGTCTCTAATATTTCAACATCTGTTCCATGTTGTAAAGTAACTCTAAAGAGTTTTATCCATCACTAAGGCTAAAAAGTTTTCAAACAGTCAGTGTGCAACATAACACCTATTCATATTTCATTGCAAAAAAAAACTAGTAATTAAACTGGATTAAAACTATATTTTTGGCTACCTTACATTACTTTACTTTAGAATATAGACTGCAAATTGACTTGCTGAACACTCGTTAAGCCATTATTAGCTTTAATACAATGAACTCCAGAAGTCACTTAATATACCTAGAACCTTCGTAGGAACAAAATGTTGCCAGTTATAGACTAATAAGATGTGAAATTCATGTTAACAATTAGCAAGGTGTTTATTAAAGCAATAAGCCACAAGAGGCCGTGTGTTACTGTGATTTTATCATGAGAGGGGTGTTCTTAAAACCAGCCTTGTGACCGAAGGTCGCTGGTTTGATCCCCTGAGCCGACAGGACATGAAGTGCCCTTGAGCAAGGCACCTAACCCCCAACTGCTCCCTGGGCACCATGGATAGTGCTGCCCACTGCTCCGGGCAGGT